ATCCGGGAGCCAATTGTCATGCCACACCCTAATATTTTTCCCATCTCCTACTCTCCATTGAAGTCCTTCGATCAGAAGGGCCTTCGCCCCCCATATACTCCTCCAAGTGAAGCTAGGATCAAAACCTCTCCAAGCACCCACAAAATCTGAATTTTTAAAATACCTAGCCTTTAGTACTCGATAAAGAAGAGTATCTCCACTATGCATTAATCTCCATCCCTGCTTTGCAAGAAGAGCCTGGTTGAAAACTTTTAGGTTCCGGAAACCCATTCCCCCTTTCGACTTAGGCAAGCAAAGAGTATCCCAACACTTCCAATGCATTCTTCTTTGTTCACCATTTCCCCACCAAAACCAGGCAAGAATCGAGTGTATTTCATCAAGGATGCCATCTGGTATTTTAAAAATACCCATCAGGTATGTAGGTATAGCCTGGGCTACAGCCTTAATCAAAATTTCTTTCCCCGGCTTAGATAACAGCTTCTCCTTCCAACCCTGCAGCTTCTTCCACATCCTCTCCTTCATGCCTGTGAAAATGGATTTTTTCGATCTTCCAATGACAGTGGGAATCCCTAAGTACTTCTCATGTCTAGCAACTTCCTTCACACCAAGTAAATTGCATATTTCCTGTCTTTTTGTTCCCGGGACATTTTTGCTAAAAACTGCTTCTGATTTTGTAAGGCTTATTTTTTGTCCCGAAGCATTTCCATATATGTGCAAAATTCTCACAAATTTTCCACATTCATTATTGTTTGCACGAACAAAAAGAATACTATCATCTGCAAAAAACAGGTGAGAAACTCGTGGCGCTCCATTACATATTTTTACACCATGAATAGTACCCTGCAGCATTGCTTTGGATAGCAGACATGAAAAAGCATCGGCCACCATAAGAAAAAGATACGGGGATATCGGATCTCCTTGTCGAAGACCCCTATGAGGAACTACGTTTCCAATTATCTCTCCATTGACCTTAAACTGAAAAGAATAACAGGAAATACAGTTAAGGATTTTCTGAATCCACTTTTCACAGAACCCGAACCTCTGCATAATTTTTTCCACAAAACCCCATTCAACCCTATCGTAAGCTTTCATCATGTCCAGTTTCAAGGCCACCGTACCGTATTTACCATCTCCTTGTCTCTTCATGTAGTGGAACACCTCAAACGCCAGTAGGGCATTATCAGTAATTAAGTGTCCCGGGACAAAAGCACTCTGATGGGGGGAAATCAAAGTCTGTAATAAAGGCTTCAAGCGGTTTGCAAGCACCTTAGAAATGATTTTATAGATCACATTACATAGGCTAATTGGTCTGAACTCGGTTATCTTACGGGGCTCATGACATTTAGAAATAAGAACAATATAGGTTTTACTTATATTCAAAATGTCCACATTACCGTTCCACCAATTTATAATGAAATTAACAACATCATTTCTAAGAAAATGCCAGAATTTTTGAAAAAATAGAGCGTGCATACCGTCAAGTCCGGGAGCTTTATTCGGGTGCATTTCAAACAAAGTCGTACTAATCTCCTCACTAGTAGGGTCTTTGCTTAATTCTGTATTCATTTCATCTGACACCCCACTACTGATGCCTTCCAACGCTTCCTCAATATTGCTGGTACCTTCGGATGAAAACAGGTGCGAAAAGTACTTTGTAACAATATCCTCCACACCCTTTTTATCTTAAACCCAACAGCCCTCTTCATTTTCCAAGCCTGTAATTCTATCTTTGCCCTGCGAGCACTAGCCTTATGATGGAAATAAGAAGTATTCTTATCTCCATCCCTTAGATCATTCGCTCTGGCTCTAGCGTACCAATAGGACTCTTCAAGAAGATGCAGATTATCAAATTCTTCCGAAATTGATCTACACCGGGCTAGATTGGTATTATCCATCACACCAAGCTGGGCTATCCTCAGTTTGTCTTCAACCTTCTTTATTTTCTTTTTTAGACTTCCGAAAGTCATTGAAGCCCATCGCTCTAAATCTGCAGCACACATAGAAATACGCTCCTGTATATTCCCCCCTACATTGTTCTCCCACGCTGCTTTCACCACCTGTTCACATTTAACATTGGATAGCCAGTGAGCCTCGAATCGGAACACCCTTTTCTTGAGCCTGTTTTCTTCCCTAGGACCTACTCTCAAGAGGATAGGAGCGTGATCTGATCTTCTAAGATTTAAAGGGAGATGTGTGACCTCGTAAGCGGGGAACATATTACACCACGACCCATTAGCTAAAAACCTATCAAGTCTTTCCCTAATGAGAGTGTCTTGGGAAAGGCCCTGCTGCCAGGTAAAAAGGCAGCCTTTAAACCCCAAGTCTCGAGTACCAGTAATGTCAATTGCTTCCCTGAACTCATAAATACAGTGTTCCCCTCTCGGAGCACCCCCACACTTTTCCTCTGGACTGAGAATCTCGTTAAAATCACCAAAAAAATATGATTGGTGTAATAGTATCGCATTGTAGACTTGTCATCAACTGCCAAGTGTTATATTTGCTTGCACTATCCGGCCACCCATAAATCCCGACTGCTCGCCAAAGAGAATTGTCCTGATCATCAAGTATATCTACAGCAATGTGGTTAGATGAAAAAGAAACAGTACGAACTCGGATGTCCCTCCACCAAAGTCCCAAGCCACCCGATAAACCCAAACTACTTACACCCAAACCCTCTGTAAAACCACATTTCCTCCTTACACCTTCTAGCCTACTCATATCAATTTTGGTTTCCATTACAAAAACCAAGTTCGGCATCTCCCTCCAACACCAATCACGAAGGGAGGTAACTATCCGAGGGTTACCAATCCCTCGGCAGTTCCAGCTCAAGATTTTCATTGCCCTTCGCGGGGTGGGTTATGAACCACCTCCGCTACTTCACTGAAGGGGACACCAACCACTGAATGTCCCATAACCTTACTTTGTTTACTACTAGCATACTCATTCTCACACTCAGCATTATCAACTTCCATATTGTCATCTGGCTTACGCTTCTCCCCCAACATCTCCACAGCATCCCTTTTCACAGCCTCTGCATGAATGACGCCTTGCCCCTCCTTCACCTTTAATTTGTTATATTTTTAATTTTATCCCCTCTCCTTCTCCCACCCCCCATGTTGTTTTGTTCCATCCCTAGACTTCATGCCCATCTTGAACATAGTATGAATACATAAATTCTCCTCCATCTCACCCGCATTATGCCCCATGTTCTGATCATAATTGCTGGAGTGCCTTCCTTGCCCATCATTCCATTGGCCCACCCCTTCAGAAACTTTTAAGAAATCTCCTTCACTCACGTCCGCATCATGCCCCATATTCTGATCGTGATTGCTGGACTGCCTTCCCTGCCCATCGTTCCACTCGCCTACCCCAACAGAGGATTTCAATAAATCTCCTCCACTCACTCCCTCTACAATAACATTTCTTACATACTCCCCATGCATATGTTCCTCCCCTACGTACTCCCTAACTTCCTCTCTCCCAACCTCCTTTTCCCCCATGCTAGACTCATAGGAATTACCTTCCTCATTCTTATTATAAACTAACCCGACATCCCATAATTTCCTGCCGTCATCCTCACGGTTCTGGGAAGCAGCTGCAGATGACATGGGCTTGGTTACAAACGTTAATTTCCTCGCCGTGGCTAAACCCCTTATCTCCGATTCTTCCTGTTTTTTACCCCTCATAGGGGAGGCTTTTATCCAGATTCCCCACCCATGCCCATGAGTATTAGCATCATCAGAAATAGTTAAGCAATCCTTCTCGCTATGACCCATTATTCCACATGAGAAACAAAAGAAAAGGTAACCTTTCATATTTTAGAGCAACTTTTACTAAATTACCTTCCTTAGTTTTCAGAGTTTGATACCTACGAAGAGGCTTGCGAACGTCCAGGACTACTTTCACTCTCCTGCACTTGCTAATAGCGATTGAGTCTTCCTCCAATTCAATGACCTCTCCCAATTTTCCTGCCACTGCCCTAACGTGCTCGTCCGTACGGCAGTTGAAGGGAAGATTCTCCATTCTCACCCAAAACGGAGAATAGTTCAGCTCTACATTCGCAGGTTGTTCGTTCCCCCTTATTTCATCAAGAATAAATAAGTTTTGTTCGAAACACCAGGGCCTCCCCAATAACACCTTCTCCTTATCTCTCCAATGGAAGAATTGGAAAGCAAAGAAATTTGTTCCAATGTTACGAATCACAACCTTGTCTTTCATGTTCCATGATTGGGCAATTGTTCGTTTAAAAGCATCAGAATTGAAGCCTCTGTCCGTTAACAATCGTCCCACCAACAGCAGCGAAACCCTAGCATCGCTTGCCGATGACTCTACATTCCCAACATCTACAACATCTTCTTCTTCGGCACTCAACATAAGGATCGCGCATTGACTAGCAAGATCATCCGCCATATCACAAGACCGTAACCCTAGGGCACGGTGGGTTCTCCTCTCTCGCAAGGTAGGTTCCCCTCTCTCTCAAGGTAGGTTCCCCTCTCTCCCAACCTCGACTTTGTAAAAACAAAAAGAAAAAAAATAAATAAAAATAAAATAAAATTGCAATGAAACCTATTAATTATTATCAAAATAGAGTATGCTGATATTAACTATTATCAAGATAGAGTATATCAGCATACTCTATGTTGATAATAGTTAATAGGTTTCATTGCAATTTTTTTTTTTTTTTTTTTTTTAATTTTTTTTTTTTTTTTTTTTTTTTTTTTTTTTTTTTTTTTTGTATTTACAAAGCCGAGGTTTCCACGATACTAATTTGGCTTCTTTCAGTCTTCCTCCCGCTCAGCACAGTTTCGTTTCTAGGGTTTCATTCAATCAACCCTAGTTTAGATTCATTGCTACAATTAAATCGACTGACCCATTACACAATTCTTCATAGTCACATAAATTTTATGCTATAGATTTTCATAATTTCGGTTGAGTAATGCACAGTTTGTTATATTAAAAGCTAACCCATCATCAAAATTCTGTGTTAGATTAAGGTAAATATGGAGAAGAAGTTTTATTTAGAGAATGAATCAGATAGGATCTCTGAATTGCCAGAATTCATTAAAACACATATATTGTCATATTTGGATACTAAAGATGCAGTTAGAACTAGCATTTTGTCGAGGTGTTGGCGGGCATTGCCTACTTGGCTTCTCGATTTGGATTTGAGTAGTTATTATCTTAGTACGGCACTCACGAATGAGTACTTGTCTGATTTGTATGATGATGCCTCCAAAATGAGGAGGGAGTCAATTATTAGGATGAGGGAAGGTTTCTATGCTTTTCTTGATCGAGTTTTTGAGTCGAGTTTGGAGGTTGATAATGTTAAGCTCTATGTGCCGGGTTTTGGGTTTGATTTGAAGTCTCGCTTGGATCATTGGCTTGATGGTGCTGTTAGACGTCGTGTTAAAGAATTAGAGTTAGAGATTGGTGTGCGGGAATGTCCTAGATATAGTTTCCCTGAAAGTGGTCTTGTTGCTAATTCAATCACGAAATTGAAATTACGTAAATGTGAGGTGAAATTTTTGTCTGTGATGGATAATCTACTGCCTTCTTTACAGGAGCTCTGTCTCGAAGATGTTTGTTTAAATAGTATGGCGTTGGAGAGTTTACTTGGTAATTGCATTTATCTTAAGAATGTCACTTTAATGAATTGTGATGGGTTGAGAACATTGGAAATCTCAAGTCTTACTAAACTTGAGAAGGTGACTTTTGGGCATAGTGTTTTAACAACTGTTTATGTGGAATCGATTAAGGTTGATGCACCTAATCTTCTAGAGTTTAGGTACATATATGATGGCGACTCCATTGGTAATACATGTCAGATTGAGATTGTGGATTGTAAGATTATGAAACATCTGGAGTTAAATGGCTGTCATCTGCATGATAAGGACTTGAATTTCTTACTAGAGAATTTTCCACTTCTTGAAGAGTTGTTTTTACAGAACTGTGATAATCTAGTAGATGTCGACGTTTATTGTCAAAATCTTGTCAGATTGGCTTTTGATAACTGTAGGGAGTTGGTGAAGATTAGAGTTTCTACTCCTAATCTAAAGTTCTTCACCTATATGGGAGAAGATCCCATACCCTTTGTGTACAAGGGTCCAGCTCTAAAATTGACAGACGCTTGCCTTCGCCTAAAATCAGTCCTTAAAAATGAGTATTGGTTTGTTGGACTCATCAAATTACTTGAGAAGCTAAGTGACAGTGAAACTTTGACAATTGAAGTTGCTTCTGAGGAGGTAAAGTAAAGACTTTCTCCCCCTCGCCCTCATGTAGTAATGTCATTCAATTCTTGTAAGGAGTAAAGATAATATTTTACTTGCTTCAAACATTTTTTTGGCCTTGTACTGCTCTGCATTGCACTTTGTATCAGTTTATTATTACTGATGAATTTGTTTTTTTTTTTTTTTTAACTATATGGTCATGTTCTCGTTGTGGTTTCAAAAACAGGATATTATAATTCCAGGATGGTTAAGGATAAAGTCTCGCCCTACCCTGTATGCTGTCAAAAATCTGTTGATAGCGTTTCAACTGTCAAGGCTTAAGTCTCCTGTTGAAGTTTTCGATTCTCTACTCTGGCTTGCTCCTTGTCCAGAGTCTATATCCATATCCGATGGTGATTTTTCAGCTAGCAAGTCAATTAAGGTATCTTGTCCTCTAATACGCATCAGTGATTGACTTGGAAGCCATAAAGGCATAACTATATAAGCCCCCATGCTAGCCAACCCTACACTTACATTCCCCCTCCTCTTCACACCTTTTCATTTCATCCTCCATTAATATTACATCCGATCCAATTTTCAATTTTAGTTTCCTTTGTTTAGATCACAAATGATTATTGCAGGTTTGTTTTCATCTCACCCCATTATAATACTTCGTATAGTACTATTGTTCTATATATCCAAGCAACCGCAAATTAATGTGACGATAACAAACTTCTTAATTTTCTATGCTCATCGTTCTCAAGTGTATTTAGGATTATTAAGAATATATGTCTGTTAATTATATACTCCTCATGCACTCCCTGTTAAAAAATGTTAATTTAGATGTGTAAGAATCTCAAACTTACATATGTGTAGACACATTGACTGAGGTACGAGGTAGGGGTATTGTGCTGTTGGAGGGTGGACTTGTGAGGCTGATCTTTTCAGCACCCCCAACCCCCCAAAAAAAAAATTCAAGTCAATATTATGGCTAATTGTGGAATTAGAATTTGATAATAGCTATTTTGGTAAATAGTTTTGCTAAATTAGCCAATTTAGTAAAAGATCCGTTAAGTTCTTCAAACTATTAGTCAAACCTAGAGTAGTCATCATACTCATCAATATTATTATGGAACCTGAAAGGAACAAGAAGTAAATTCTTATAGTATCGAAGTACCTATACTCAAGCTTTGGGGCCGGAAATTTGCATATTTTTATTTTGTTTATTAATTTAACTTGCTGATAGTTGCTCCATTAAATTTAATTAGTATGAAGAGCACTAACAATCGTGGATGCAAAACTCTGATGTTTTTCATTAGCCTTAACTTTTATCTATATGGGATTGGAGTGTGTATTTTCTATTAGGGTTTTCTGGATGTTGGATATTGTATTGTTCTTTGTAATATTTGGACTGGTGTTCCAAAATGTTGCCTTCAAGTTTTCAGTGTCATGTATTCAGAAAATCTGTTGTATATCATATGCCTTTGATTGACTAGTCCTTTGCACATAATTCTTTTATGTAAGTAGACAACTTCATGGGTGTATCTGATTTTGGTTAAACAGTTAAAACATCGTTAAATTGGGTAATTTCATGATATCAGTAGAAGTTTGAAAAGGACTAATGATAGTCATTGGATGTCTGCTTTGCAATTCAGTTTCTGTACGAGAGGCCATTAAAAGGCAAGAAGAATGGTGGTCGCTGGAAATCCTCCAACTGTTGGCAACACTCTCTCAAGAAAGTATGGATTGAAAACCAGGGAAGGGCCAAGGATGATATGAAGCTGGTAAACTTCTTTGAGAAGGGGAGGATTGGTGGAAAGGTAGAGTGTATAATCAAGAATCTCAAGCCTGAATATTGAGCTGAAGTTGATAACGGCCTGTCTCCTGTCCGTCGCTCCCTCTCATGATTAACTGTGAATTTATGCTCCTTTGGTGAATCTGAACCTTAGATAATTGCAGACTTACAGTTTTGAGAATGTTTTGAACTTCTTGCAGCCTTCATCTTGTTTGTTTTGGTTAATCTTTTGACATACAGGGATCATACATTTGTAGTTGTAGGCCATACATTTTTTTTTATTTTTTTTTTTATGGTAGTATTTGAAGCATACATTGATATATTGTTATCACTATGTTAGTACAGGCAGCAACATGAAGTATACTATATTTGTTAATTTATTATCAATTGGGATTTCCTAGCTAGTAAGTAGTAATCACATGATTCAAATTGAACAAAATGACTTGTTTTGAAATATAAGTGAAGTTATTAAGATATATTTAGGAAATATTTAGGAGGATATTTGATTTAGTGAATATTCAGATTCACTAGGATAGATTTACCAAGAATTATCTTTAGTTTCCTTAGCTTAGCAGTACACGTTTTTGGTGTAGCTTAGGAAACTTGTTCTTGTATTATATATTCTGATGACTTGTGTTAATGAAAGCTAAGCCAAAGTTCAAGGTTTTACATGGTATCAGGCCAAAGACATTAATACACCTCATAAACCATGGCTGGCGTTGATGATCAACCACCACCACCACCACCACCTCCAAAAATTGAACCAAATTCCCCATATTACCTCGGTTCTCAAGATCGGCCGGGGGATTTCATCACTCCTACTCGCCTAACGGCAGATAATTATGACTCTTGGGCTGCCGATATTTAAACGACGTTAGAAGCTCGAAGGAAATTTGAGTTTTTAGATGGTACGATCACTAAACCATCACCTCCTTGCACAAAGTCCGATTGGACGGCGATAAATGCAATGCTTGTTTCATGGATTATGAATACAATTGACCCCGAATTAAAATCTACCCTGTCAAAATTTGGAGAAGCAAAATCCTTTTGGGATCATCTTAAACAACGTTTTGCTCAGACAAACGGACCTCGTATTCAACAATTGCGTTCTCGATTGCAAAGTGCGAGCAAACTAAGTTAATGCCAGTTTCTGCGTATTATGGCAAATTGCATACTTTGTGGCAGGAATTAGATAGACACGAGCCTTTGATTTCTTGATCCTGTTGTACTTCGTTTACAGCCGGGAAATTGCATGAAGAGCGACGAGCACAAGCACAGCTACACGATTTTTTAATGGGATTATATCCTGATTTCTACTCTTCCTTGCGCACACAAATTTTATCTGAAGATCCGCTTCCGAGTCTTGACAGAGCGTACCAATTGGTAACTCAAGAGGAGCGCGTTCGATCATCAAAGCAGGAAGTCGAATCCACACCACCTGAGCCGGTTGGGTTCGCTGTGCGTGCAGGGAATGATGCGGCAGGTGCGGCTCGTGGTCGAGGCAGGGGCTATGACAAGCCTTTATGTACTAAGTGTCGCAAGACTGATCACGAAACTTCAAGTTGCTGGGCAGATATTGTGTGTGGCTATTGCAAGAAGAAAGGTCATCCCGAGACCCACTGTTATGAGCTTGTGGGAAGGCCGGACAACTGAAGGCAGGGGAAGGGTCGTGGACAGCCTCGTGCTAATGCAGCCACCAGTGGTAGTTCGTCTTCCACAGCTAACTCTTCTACTGTTTCAGCTTTGGGGCAAGTATTTACTCCTGAACAGTGGAAGGCTATTGCAGGGGTTGTTGGTAATGCTCCAATTCCGGAAAATAGATTGACTGGTAAGTTTGATGTTTCATCTTGGATTATTGATACCAGCGCGACTCATCATGTCACCAGAGATAGTTCTTGGCTAGTTGATACGAAAAATATTGAATGTCCCGTTGGGTTACCAAAGGGTGCAAAAGTATTTGCTACCTTGGTGGGATCCGTTTGTTTATGGGATAAGATTACTCTCACCGGAATACTTTATGCTCCGAATTTGAGTTGCAATTTACTTTCGGTTTCTCAACTTAATAATGATTTACAAACTATTGTCCAATTTGATTCTCATGTTTGTGCTATAAGGGACCAAGAGAAGGAGCTGATTGGAATGGGAACTAGGAGAGATGGACTATACTATTTTAGCAAATCGAAAGTGTCAACCGTTGAAGCTACATCAAAGTTGGAGTTGTCGCATCGTCGACTTGGACATCCTTCGGAAAAAGTAGTTAAGTTAATTCCTCATGTTAGTGGTAGCAAAGATCATTTAGATGCGGGTTGTGAAGTATGTATGCATGCTAAACATCCAAGAGACAAATTTCCTTTAAGTGATAATAAAGCATCTCGAATATTTGAGAAAAGTCATTGTGATTTTTAGGGTCCATATCGACATGTTTCGTCGTGTGGGGCTCGTTATTTTTTAACGATTGTTGATGATTTTTCAAGAGCTGTTTGCGTTTATTTGTTGGTTGATAAGTTAGAAGTTTTTCAAATGTTTATGTCGTTTGTTGCGATGGTTGAAAGACAATTTTCTCAAACAATTAAAGTGGTCCAAAGTGATAATGGAACCGAGTTTAATTGCTTGCTTGACTATTTTAGAGCCATTGGAATCTTGTTTCAAACATCTTGTGTGGGAACTTCTCAACAAAATGGGCGAGTAGAGTGGAAACATAAACATATTTTGAATGTTAGTCGGGCTTTGCGGTTTCAAGCAAAATTGCCTATCTATATTTGGGGGGAATGTGTCCTTGCCGCAGCTCATTTGATTAATCGTACCCGAACTCCCCTTTTGCAAATAACCCTGTTTGAAATTCTCTTTGATAAACCTCCTTCTGATGCTATTCGAACATTTGGGTGCCTATATTTTGCACATAATCAGAAAACCAAGGGTGACAAGTTTGCTAGTCGCAGTCGAAAGTGTGTATTCATGGGATATCCATTTGGTAAAAAGGGATGGAGGTTGTTTGATTTGAATACAAAAGAAATTTTTGTTTCAAGAGATGTCAAATTTGTTGAAGAAATTTTTCCGCTTAGGTCTCCTGAGGTTGTCAACATTCCCACAAATGAGTTTGATGCACCGATCATTCATGAGGATTTTGCTGAATTTTCAATTGAGGAAGAGCTTGCTTTGGTGACACAATGGGTGGCCAACAAGTCCAAACACATAATGAATCAGGCCCAGAAGCTGCTCGGACTCACCAGCGTCCGCGGGGCCCTCGCTGCAATAGCCCATCCCTTCTTCTGGTGAGACCGCTGGGTGGCCATCGCTCACTAGGCCTACCAGCCTTTAGCCTAGTTCGTCTCCTGCTCAGACCGCTGGATTTCAAGCGCCAGGTGGGCCATTTCTTCATCCCACTCATGCTACAGTCACATATCCATCATATGCAGCAGGTTCTAATGATCAACAATTGGGTCGAGGTTTTCGTCAAAAATTTCCCAATGTCTTGCATTGTGACTTTGTGACACATACGATTTTTGCTAATAGTCCACTCTCTTCCTCTTCCGATCACTCCTCAGGTACTCCATATCCCTTAGCACATTACATAAATTGTGACAATTTTTCTGTTAATTATCGGAAATTTCTTGCAGCTATTATCAAGGGTAAGGACCCAAAATCATTCAAAGAAGCAATGAAATATGACGGTTGATGTCAATCTATGAAGGAAGAAATCCGTGCTCTGGAGGAACGGCACATGGACCTTGGAGCATCTACCTCTCGGGAAACGTGCCCTTAGCAGTCAATGGGTCTATAAGACCAAATATTTGTCCAATGGCGAAGTTGAGCGTCTAAAATCTAGATTGGTGGTTTTCGGCAATCACCAACAAGCCGAAATTGACTATGATGAGACTTTTGCTCCCGTTGCCAAAATGACTACCGTTCGTGTTTTTCTTGCAATAGCAGCTTGCAAGAATTAGGAATTACATCAAATGGATGTTCATAATGCCTTTTTGTATGGTGACTTAGCTGAAGAAGTCTACATGAAATTGCCCCCCAGATTTGAATATTCGGATCCTTCCTTGGTGTGTCGCTTACGCAAGTCATTGTATGGCTTGAAACAAGCTCCTAGGTGTTGATTTGCAAAATTGACGTTGGCCTTGAAAGGGTATGTTTTTCTCCAATCCTACTCAGATTACTCTTTATTCACATACACTAATGGCAAAACTCAAATTAATGTCTTGGTTTATGTGAATGATCTTATTATTTCTGGGAATGATTCCGCTGCACTTAAGGTTTTCAAAGCATATCTCAGTGATTGCTTCAAAATGAAAGATCTTGGTTCACTTAAATATTTTTTGGGTATTGAGGTGACTCGTAGTTCGTCCGGATTATTTTTGTGTCAACGAAAGTATACTCTGGATATTATTTCTGAAACAAGTCTATTGGGAGCAAAGCCTAGTGGGTTTCCCATAGAACAAAATCACAGACTCGCTCATGCTAGTGGCGAATTATTGAAGGATCCCGAAGTTTATCGTCGTCTTGTGGGACGGCTCGTATATCTCGCAGTCACTCGACCGGATCTAGCTTACTCAGTTCATATTCTATCACAGTTCATGCAGGCACCATGCATAGAACATTGGGAGGCCGTCCTTGCGAGTTGTTCGCTATCTAAAAGGAACTCCCGGCCAAGGCATATTGTTGCATTCGGATATTGAGCTCACATTAGAGGGATGGTGTGACTCAGATTGGGCGGCGTGTCCACTCACTTGACGCTCGTTGACAGGATGGCTAGTGTTTCTAGGAAAATCACCGATTTCTTGGAAAACTAAAAAGCAAGATACAGTTTTTAAATCTTCTGCAGAGGCGGAATACAAGTCCATGGCATGAATCACTTGTGAGTTAAAGTGGCTTAAGGCTTTATTGTTGAGTTTGGGTGTGCAACATCCTAAAGCTATTAAATTATTTTGTGATAGTGAATCGGCACTGCATATTGCAAGGAATCCAGTTTTTTATGAGCGAACTAAGCATATAGAAGTTGATTTTCACTTTGTTCGTAATGCGATAAATGAAGGATTAATTTCTCCGTCTCATGTGTCG